AGAAATAAAGGGCGAAGACGCGTCTCAACAAGACGAGTCTATTCCTTTTATAATGTGCTGTGAAACCTGCTAGACGGTGATCAATTATAAGTTGACTGTTCCTTTTACAAAAATATACATACTTATACTGCTCCTTGGGGGAAGATCTCTTCTATTCTTCTATAGAGATGAATTACAGATCAACAACGGTCATGGGCACCGCCATTGGGCAAAACGACATAGATGAATTACAGTAGATCACCTTAAGCTCCTGGGTCACCGTTGGCATTGCTCAGCGCATTCCACGACTGCTGGGATAGGGGCTTCCGTTTTCCGTCTCCATAGTAGACTGTGAATTTGTTCGCTACCGCGGAATTTTGATCGCGTAACATTAGAGAGTTGTGCCCTTCAACCTCTCGGACGGTCCCCTCATCTATTCGATAAACTGAAATCAGTAAATCTGTTATTTTCAGTTTTCGATTACTTGTTCCTTCTACCCCATATACCTATTTACCGGGAGAGTTTGAATTTCCCTTGTGCGCTTCTACAGGAACACCAAAAGGATACTGCCGAAGAGATAATGCTAGGAGAGATAGATTACGATGAGAAACATGCTCTCAGCATCTCTATGAATATCAATATGATTATTATCGTCACATCATAATAGCGGCAACTCCACCGTTAACGGTGCCTGCGTCACCTGGATGCGGACTCGGAAGGGAGTATCTTTAGGGCATAGCGGGTCATCGCCGCCAGAAGAGGTCGGTTCAAATTAGAGAAGATGTAATATACTCTAGAGGATGTTCCTTTTTCCTTCAAACCTAGAGAGCTACCTTCAGGGACGACTAGTAGCAGCAAAAGATTCTTCAGATCTTCATTTTTGTTTTGTCGAGACAGAAGATGGAGGATGCACATGGTCAAAATGGCCGCACGACAAGCACAAGAAGAGTCTTTTTTTTTCCTGCTAGTTCGACTTCTACTGGAGTGAGCTGCCCACAAATTAAATCACACATTATCGCTTATTCAACGACACTCGCATTATCACGTGTGATTAATCAAGGATGATCAGCCTTAATCAAAAGGTCCATCTGCTGGAGTCCCGGCAGTACACGTCGTCATCATACCAGCACCTGTTGCCCAGTCTTCATGCGCATCGACGCTAAGCACGTCTGAAAGAACCCAGTCGTGTAGATTCGGTGTGGCACAAGGTGCGTTCTGGATGAAAAATCGCATGTTCTTCAAGTTGGACGTTATTTGCCACTCACTGACGCAAGGTCTGGCGATGCTGGCATCTTTGAACATGCCTTCTACACTGGTAACCATCCGCACATCCCACTCCGTCACATTGGGAACCGCAAGAGTGGCATTCGCAAACATGTAGCGGAGATTAGACGATGAGGAAAGGGTCTTGCTTACAGAGAGGATGACATTGTACTGGGTTGAGTACTACTTGCAGTTATCCTTGTCGACGGCTCAGGAATAAAAGGACCTTGTTTATTTTAGACTTGTTATAATAATCTGCTCACGTTTAAGATCTGCTTACTTGTTCAAGAAACATTTTCAGTTTATCGAAGATCACTAGTACTCTTCTACTGGTAATATGTGATCAATTATACCAGTGTGATTGATACTGGAGTGTGCAGATGAATTATGCTCCATAATCAAATCAGTTGCCTTTGAAGTTACCCAACTTCCCACATTCGGGTTTGCTAGAGCGGCATCCTCGAACATTCGTGAGAACGAAACTCCCTCTGACACGTCCCAATCCCTCACGAAGGGGGTCGCCTTTTTTGCCCCCTTGAACATAGCCGTGAAATCTGTTATGAAAGGAGTTTTTTCCATACAGGCAGACCATCCAGGCTTCCCTTTGAGAAAAAAGTAAAGTAGGGAAAATAAAGGATGGAAAAACTTCATCCATATCTGTGGCACTGGAAGTGACCCAAGATTGTAAAGGTCCATCCTCCCCCGGTTTTTGCGCTAGTGTCATGCCTTTACTAAGCGCGAACATCATGCGAAAACTTTGCACTTTCTGGACATTCCAAGCGGTGCGGGAATTAGACGTTGATCAGCAACAGTACAACTAGAAACCATGAGAATAGAATTTCGATACCAATCTATTATAGAATTTCGATTCTCTCCCCTTCTATCCGATAGAATGATGACAATCTAATTCTACAGGTTTTACTTCCACTATACTAAGCAAACTACTTTCTATTCAATAGAATTTTAGGCTGTCCATTGAGGTAGTTCTCTAATAGTGGTAGAGCCAACCTAACTAGGAAAGGTATCAAAAATATTAATTACTATGTGTAGTTCTATAATTTAATACAACAAAATTTTAGACTGTCCATTGTACCACTACCCTCCAGTAGAGTATGCCTTAAAATTCACCATACCCAAGTTTGGGGTCTCGAGAAAAGCCCTTTCCATCGTGGTGACTTGGGATGTGTCCCAATTGTCGACTACGGAATTATTTAAAGGTCAGCAGTCAGTGGCCACTGATGCTGAACGGAAAAGACCACCTTCAAAGCTCTCCCCTTTTCCCTTCCATCATTTCCCCTGTTCTCTCAAGGGGTCGCCTATTCGATCTCAGTGACTCCAATCTAAATGGTGACCAATGAAAGTTGAGCCTTAAGTTATCCACTCCAGTCGATAGATCTCCGGTCACATCGCCGTAATTAGAGGTCACATCACTATGGATTCACTATGGAGTCACAACCATATGGGATCCCTAGAAGCCGTAATGTGAGCGAAAAGACCAGCCAGCGAGGTGATACGACTCAGGTCCAAGGTCTTCAAGAGTGGTTTAGAGGAAGACGAGGAGGTCCTAGTTTGAGGTCCTAGTTTGAGCACTGATGTCTTCTTAGATTTCCGTTCTTGACACAAACTGTCCATTTTGATAAAAATGTTCTATGATAAACTAGGTAGGTGGGTTACTAGGTTTCGTACAGAGATTCGATTAGGTTATCATCCATCTTGCACATCCAGCCAACCTCGTCCCGGACACAAGGATGACACCAAACTGTAAGTAAAACTACCCTTCTCTCAACAATACTGCCGAAGATTTCATTAATAACGAACTTTCTAAAAAGTACTTACAACTACCCTTCTCATCTTAACAATAAGGTGATTCACACAAGTAGAAGTACTACCCTTCACTCTTAACAACAAGGTGATTCACACGCGCTGGCGTGTATTCGAACAGATAGGGAAAATATCGAGCGACATTGTCAGCATCGCCAAGATTGTCGAGGCTGACCCAACTCTGCTTCCACACTTGCGCTTCCATTAGCGCTCATCGCCCAAGCTCATGATCGCCCGAATGATCCACCAAATTCATATCAACATAGCTCTAATCCATAACAACTTATCTAAGAAGATATTATATTTATTGGATGAAGCATCAAAAGCCTTAATTCTGCATCGTTCTCAGCGCTGATGAAACCACTGGAGACGCCGCTAAGCTGAAACGTGTAATTTCCCGGCGAAGCATACGTATGTCTCCTCTTCGCATCGGCAGGCTGCGTCCCACGCCCGGCTGCATCCTCAGAGATCTCCGGGTGTTAGACGACGAGGTAAGTCTAGGTTGGCAGTCATGAGATCAAGACGACACTAACCTTCAGTCAAAATCAACATTTGAGGGAAACACTATGATACAACCATGCAGGGAAGACTTTTAGTTTTACATTAAAGTAGAACCGCCATCGATATTATCTGCTTCTAGAAGTTGTTAGCCCCGCCAACAAACTCACTCTAGCTACTTAACAAGCAATCATTCAGGTAAAGACCTTACACAAAAAAAATAAGAGTTTACTTCTCTAGAACAACAGATAGCATTTTTTCACTTCTGCAACAGCGACGTGGATCGGCTTCGACAAACAAGCTGCGTGGTGGGTTAAACCCAAGAATAGAGGGAAAATTAACCGGTTATTTTTCTTTTTGCCTTAATTAAGATCGATTGTAGTTCCAGTCCCACCAGCTGCATCGCCCCATTTTACTGAGACGGATTGACTTGTTGCAGTCGGACGCAAGGGAATGGCTACTGCAGTGCCCCCGGTGTCGATCTGCAAAGTGACCTTCAATACCTCGGTCTCTCCTCTTGTTGCACTTGCGCATTCAGTTTCCACTGATTGGAGGTAGAATTGAAACGATTCGAACGAGAAGAGGTGGATCGTGAGCACTACAATCGTCCTATACTTTCGGTAGTGCTCACTACAATCGTCCTATACTTTCGGTAGTGCTCACTACAATCGTCCTATACTTTCGGTAGTGCTCACTACAATCGTCCTATACTTTCGGTAGTGCTCACTACAATCGTCCTATACTTTCGGTAGTGCTCCACGACTACTTCTATCTAGTATGAAGACTGCTAGTACTAGAAGGTGATTCAGGATCTACAACTCGATCAGGATCATAATTGACGATAGTCTGTCATTAAAATGGTACTACTCGAGGACCTCCTTTATGAAAGGTATAGTGCCAGCAGAATGTGAATGCGAGAATAGTTGGTCAATTGCAAAGAAAACCCCTTAAAATGGTAACCCCTTTAGCAGCAGCACGATAAAGGCGTGAAAGAGTCGGGGACTCCTGCCGAAGCCCCGATCCCAAAGGTACCGATCGTCCCTCATCTTGTGCACAAGAAAAACGTGGTTCATAGACAAACTTATCAGACAAACTCAACGTAGTGTTCGTCACAAAAATATTGAAATGTTTACTGCAGACGCAGCCGCTACTCCATTCTGTACTAGATGATCAAGTCAAGAATGAACAATCAAGCCCATCGTTACTACAAGAAGCCTACGTGTCAATACAATAAAATACGATTATTCTCGCACAAAGTTCAGTGCAGACTGCCATAAGGGCGGCAATCAAGGAATATATAATTCTCATCTCTCGTCAATGCACCATCTCTTACTCATCTGCCCCTCTAGTCTCTCTCTCTCTCTCTCTCTCTGTTGAGAGTCCCAACATCGCTACTCTCGGTCTAGCTACTTTCCTATTTTTGTCAGCCCATGATGTACCTCCGCAGTTATCTCCCTGTGCGGCGTCAAAGAATAGCTCAAGAGCTGTATTTATGAGGACTGCGTCAGATTCCTCTCTAATGCTGGTATAATGTACGAGCAAATCATCATCTTGATCTTCTCTATATTCATTCATTCACTCACGCTGCCACCAGCGTCACTAGTAGCAACATTCTTTCCTGCGAAGGGATACGTATGCCCGCCCACTTTATATATTTGTAAATACGCAGTCGTCCTTTCCTTTCTATCGACGTTCTCATCTTCATCGGAGTTCCAGGATCAGCGTCAGTCCCATGATGATCAGAGGATAGGATAGGATTTGATTCGCCGTCCACAGTTATTTGACCTGTATCCTCAAGCGAATGTGTGCAGCCGCAGTAGAATCGTTCGTCTTAAACGCCGAGTTCCTCATTTTCTATGACCCTGGAGTAGTCTGTGAGTGGTGCATGTGCAACCGCATGTCCCACACTGGCAAGCGCTCCAAGACCAACCAGCATAAAGATGAGTCCGCCAATGGTAACAACGAGGAACAGGCTCGAGACTCCACCCATGAGCAACAGACCTGCATTAATTTGTAGGGACGATTTCTTTGGATCCTGAGATGAAGGTCGTGGCTTTACCACTAGTCACCTTCCAATTGTTGTACTGAGGTTTAGTTCCACCACTTGAAATCAAGCATAATTGCTAAGGAAATAAAGCGATGAAAGGTACTTATATATAATGCTGGTGGACGAGCATATCTAATTAGAAAAAAGGTACTTATATACTTATATACTTATATTTTTAACTTATACTTATAAGCGGGTAAACCTTAGATAGTCAAAAAAGTTCCACATGAGACGAAACAATCCCGAAAACAGGACAGTGCTGCAGTATGCTTCTGGACGTCATTTTTGGTTTGTGTGTGTGTGGAGTTGTCCTATATTTTGATTGGAGGTGTATTGGTATGATGTTGAAGTATACTATAGTCTAAGAAGGTAAAAAGGTCAACTAATTGCTAAGAATAGCTTCATAACTAAGTTACTCACGAAGGGTTTGGTTAATTGATTATAATTAGAGCGCTCGTAGTAAAACTTCCTGACTTCAGCCACATAAGGTCCTACCGGAGAAGAGGAGAAAGGTAGGTGCTCGCAATGAGATCGGAACGGCATAGTTGGCCTTGCTTATGGGTGCTAGCTCACCAAGGCCAACTTCCGAAATCATTCGTCAGGAACTAGTACTCATCTATCATTATGCTTAATTTGTCTCCCGTCCTTGAGTCTATGCGCTGGTGGTTTTCGTAGTCGTCCCTGCTTGTGTGCTATAGTGTAAAACTTATAAATATAATATTTATAAGAGGCACGACCTAGTAGATCTAGATACTTATATTTAGTACGATGATAAGGCGTGAGCTCCAATCCACCTATCGCTGTTCTCCATTCTGGATTTTGATTTTTCGCCAGAAAGAAAAACCAACAGACGCCGACCTGAGAGATCAAGATCATTGCTGCTCGTATATTAAAGTTTTTTGTTTTTGTTGCATCAAAATTAACCTAGAGATACTCCTGCTACTCATGTCTACAAGAATGAGATTGAAAAACTTCTGTACCACACAAGTACGCAGTAGATCAAGCACTCGTCTCACAACTTCTAAATACCACAAGTATGCAGATCAGGCTCGTCGGGTTCATCAGCAGACCGAAGACTAAGACCGCCAGAGTAACCACTAGATAGTTTGCCCGAAAATAAGACAGGTTCTTCGCGATCTGCTGGCCATCGAATCGGGTTGGTCTCTTGAAATTACTGCAAAACTCTCCAAGCCACGGTCTGAGTATGAGCATAGCACCACGCGAACCGTCTGCAGATCCCGTTGGGACTCAGATTAGAGGGTTGTAAGACAATTTTTTAGACGCTTGTTGTACAGCCTGCATCACCAAAAAAAACTGCTTGAACCAAAACAGATCATTCAAGTAAAAACTACTTCAACCTCCAATACTGCGATGTGACGCAGTGAATGCTTCCGGTATTTGGGAACCTGAGTTTGATCACAAGGGAAAACAAGAAGGGAACCCTTGTGATCGAATTCAGGTTACCAAATACCGGAAGGATAGACACAATCCTTCACCCACAGCATAATATCATCCCCGAAAACCCATTTCCTCCCGCCGCAGGATCTACTCCAGCTAATGTGTTCATTTCTCTCCACTTCGCTCTCATTGCGTCTGCTATATTTCCGAACATGACTGGGACAGGAGCTCCTCCATTAGCATTACCCTCCTCGTGGTTATAGCCGCCTCCCATTGCGCCACTTGGTAGGTCTCCTGCCTCTGAAGCAGGTGTCATGATCGCGAAGGGATTCCACCCTATAATCTGGTTCGGAATTGAGCTGCTACTAGAAGCCGCACTGCTACCACTAGACGCCCCTCCAGAAAAGGTTCCTCTCGAAGAAGAAAATGAGATATTAGATCTACTACTTCCACTTGGTCTATTTCCACTAGAATTCACGACCCCATCCACTAGAATTGCACTCGCGCTAGCATTCGCGATCACGTCCGCGTACTCCTTGTCCTTAGTTACGCGATAGAGTGTGGTGTTCGTACTGCCGAAGAGACTCTCACGCGCTAAGTCCGTGCAAGGCTTCTTGGAAGAAGATGTGGACGAGTTACTTCCTTTTGACGTCCCGGAAAAAACGTACTATGAACGACGAAGTGGAGCAGGATGAGGCGGAAAAAATACAACGGCTATTCACTTCTATACTTTTGGCATCTTCGAATCTTCATAAGAACTCTTTGATAATACCGGTGGAACACGCCCATCTAGAAAACAAAAACACACAAAAAAATATTGAAATCAGTCTGATTAAATAACGAAGAAAAACTACGTTTCAGAATCAAAGTCTCAAAAACAATCAACAACAAGACCAAACATAAATGTTCCACCTCTGGCCCACCTGATGTTTTCCTTTTCCCAGCTCCTCGCTTTTTCTGATTACTGGCGTTGTTCAGTTCGAATCCTGGGAAAGCTCTGGGGCCGCCCGCAATCTCCTCCAGCTCAATTCCATCATTTTGCATGTCGTTAGAAACATCAAACAAAACTGATACGAAAAAAGCAGTACTAAACGTGAAAGAGTAAGTACTTATGTTGAACTACTGCAGGGTAAAGATATTGCTTCAGTCTCTATGCATTGCTCACAAAAGTAAAAAGCATTAGCGTTCCTCGTAGTGGCTCAACAGTACTGCTACAATGAATCTCAAAATTGTCAGTGGTTGTAGTTCCACTTTTCTCTGTCACGGAGGTTGAGACAAAGAAACTGATACAAACAAGTAAGCTTTTGGCTTTGGATTTGGAGACTTCCGAAGAATTTCTTTTTTTTGTATCCTGGGGCTACTGAAAGAGCGGCCTCAGCTTTATCCAGTTCGCAAACCGGCGGCAAGCGGAGCTTAGTGCTCCTATACTGGGGCGATATTCGTTTCACAAACAGCAGACAGGCGGAGACAAAGAAATGCAAATGCCACGAAGAAGGAAAGATAATACTAAACAGACTGAACAATTAACACTACTACGCTACGTAGGGAGGAAAAGCAAAAGTATTAATGTAGGTACCTAACATACTTACTCAGCTAGATACAAGTCGACAAAGGAAAACTCACTTCCATTTTCTTCCATCCTCGTGCTCTCCATCTTCTTTCTACCTCCTCACTCTTCCTGTCATCACTCTTCATCCTGTTTTTTAGCAAAGGATTTTCTCTGCTTTCCAACATCAAAAGCTTTGGATACCCGCGGCTGAACACGCAAAATTTCTTTTTGAAACATCCATGATCATATGGATCTGGGTAGTAAGTACTCGAAGCCCTCTTTTTTTCCCCAAATCACAAAGATTAAGATCACATTGCGTAGGTAAACTAGGTTCTCCCAAAATACATACCATGTCCCGTGTCTTACGACCTTTAAGTGTACGTAAGTAATCAATCTGCGTGTGCGTCGCGTAACTAAGTGAGTTCGTATATCAAGAAGTATTCATCACAAATGTCAAACCAAGAACAATAATTTTCATTTATAATCATGTAAATGTTGTAGACAACAAGTATGTTCTTCCTCTATTATTATCTATCATTTTTATACAACAAGTTGTAAGTATGTCTGCGCTGCGTAAATGTATTAAAGGAACAACCATTAGTTTTAGTGTTGATCTCGTCATTGAACTTCAAAGAGAAATAGTGCAGCACTTGAAGAGCTACGTTAGACACTGCCTGGAAAAGGTAGTGAGAAACCAGTAGAAGTTGTATTTCCAAAGAAGTACTTCTAATACAATCTTCAAGAGAAAAAAAACTTGAAGAGCTACATTAGAAACCAGGAGAAATAATCACACTAAATCATCTTCATGTTTAGATTCAATTCAATCAATCTTCATGTTTAGAGGTTCCTCAGGTAATCAGTATCTTCCGGTTCGTCCCCACTTTCTTCCTCGTCCAACAGGTGTTCTGGCTCAGCACTTTTGAGAGCCTGTTTCTTCTTCTTCTTCTTTATTTGAAAAGGCTGCTTCAACCCAGCATCGCTGTTCCTGGCGACCTTGTGAGTCGATACGGCAGTTTTATCATCAGTCGAATTATTCGATGTTCTAGCATCTTCCGTGGTCCTCGTGGTATCCGATTGCAGCTTGCGCTGGGACTCACGATCCATCTTCGGCTCAGAATGAATACTAGACCTCCCTATGTCCTCACTCTCGACACTTGGTCGCATGTTTTCACTTTGTCGCAAGCTCCCGCCTCCATCTTGTTCCAGCAGAGGCAGCATTTGCGTTTTCACACCGGAGAGAGAATTGCTAAGTGAAGATGCTGTTGAGGCACGCGCGGGGGGGGGTCTTTCACTTTGTTTAAACAATGTAGAAGGATCAAGAAGAGGTCGTATACGCGTGCCTTCTGTAGTACCTTCTGTAGTACCACCTCGAGTCAAGCTTCTTGTCGCTTGTCTCTCACTAAATCGTTTTGCTTCACGATACTGGAGCAGCTGTTGTCTGCAAAGACGCAACAAGTCCGAAGTGTTGACACCGGCTTTTTCATACTGTTCGGCGAAGTTCTCAGCAGATGCTAGCGCTTTGCCTTCGATGTGCCAGGAACTATCGACACGCATCAAAGCAGGCGGATGTTGCTGCCCGTCGACTTTACCCGGACCTCCATTTTTGCCCGCCCGTTGCCTCAAACCGCCTTGCTGTTGGAGGGAAGTAGTACTATTGTTCAAACTCTTGAAACTCAAGATAGTGCTTACATCTTCGACGTTATTTTGACCGTCACCGTTCATGTTCATTTTGTACATTAGCAGTTCCTCAACCTTTTTGGCTTGCTCTTGTTCCCCACCTCCTCCTCCTGCTCCATTCCTCCCTGTCCCACTCCCAGCACTACTTTTACCACCGCTAGAAGTACTACTGTGTCTGTGTCTGTGTCCACTCCACCTACTCAATCCCAGCATTCTCCTCCAATAGAATAGAAATAAATTGAAGCGACTCCTGCGCTTAATCGGATGCATGCGGTCAATTGCTTTCGCTGCTTTTAGGATGACGTCAGGGAATTTGGTTTTCCACTCTGTCAAACTGACCCTGTTGTCGCCAGTCACATCCAAATCGAATAGCAGCTTAGTTAGATGTACAAGTCTGGGCAAATCCAGGTCCTCCGTCAGGATGTTCTCGGTTATGTGACCAGTTACAGCGCCAATGGCCATCACATACTCAGGCTCTTCATCGGAGGATGAAGCATCAGACGAAGCGTCGTCGTCATCATCCTCCTCCAGATCGTCATCTTCTGGCAGATTCATGTCTGGGTTCACATCTTCTTCTTCTGCTGATTCCTGTCCAATATCTGCTTTAATCTTGGCACAACTTCTAGTAAGACTACCGTCAAGTGGCACAAGCGCCACAAACTGTGGTGGTTCATTACTCGGGTCTCCACCTTGTCCTTGGTTTGTTCGTGAAGTAGATGGTACTTCTATAGGTGGTAGTGTTTGTTGGCCATCATCTGCAGCTTCACCCGTTGCTCGTGAAACCGCGTCCGCGCGTGTTGCTCCATTAGTCTCCTGAAAACCACCTCCTCCAACTGTGTCTTTCAGCATCTTCCCTGTATTCAAAAAATTCTTGCTCAACTTCGAACTACTAGTCGTCACGTTTTCTTTCTGCAGCGATGCCAGTCCGTTTTTCTTTCTGCCTACTTTAGGCGGTGGCCCCACTGCTTCGTACATCCACTGGAAGTAGACTCGCAGTTCCCTCTCCTTCAGCAAACACACGGAAGCCGACTCAGACTCAGCGGTTTCAATTGCACGATAGAGGAAAAAGTGGTCAGCGTTGATAACTATCAGCGTGACCCAGATAAGCCAGATCGTAGCTGGCGTGAAGGCAATAAACAAAGCCACGAATTGGATCGTGGAAACGTCGGTTATACCTGGAATTTGATGGAGTAGTCGTTTTTATAAAGATGAAGTGGATGACAGGATTCGGAGTCTGGTTGTAATCGATCGGTCATGTTAGGCCGAAAAAACCAAAAAACGCACACTGCAAAGTCTAACAAGTAGGTACTTATCCAGAGGAAAGTACTTAAGTACCCAAAGTGTTATCCTCCCCCGCACACAACGCCAAGAACGTCACAGCGACGGAATAGCATGGAGGCACGCAGCGCCGCGACATACTGTCTGCTTCAATGCAGATGATCGACCCGTATTTTTGTTGCAAATATTCTCCCACGATCACCGCTATCACGCCTCCCGCCATCACCAGTGTCAAATACAGCAAACTCACGTCCAAATAGTTCATATCCGTCATAGACTCTGGCGCTTCGTCTACTGCCGCTTTTCGCAACGCAGTCAAAGCTAAGAAAGCAAGGAAACCAGACATAAAACGCGGGACTAAAATGTTGTGAGGGACGATAAAGGTTGAGAACGCAAATGTTCCTAACAATATAGCTGGAATCGCCATGCGGAAGACCCACAGTTCACCGCGCCGAGTGATCACAACCCCTAGTATCGCGTCAGTCCCTTCAGCGCTATATGAAATAGTGCTTTTTTCGACTGGCCACGTGCTGGACCAACGCATCGCCAGAACCTCATCCGGAACTCCTGGGAGAGTGAACCGCTTGCCAACTCCACCAGCTAAATGGGTCATGGATACGTTTCTAGCGTTTTCTCCTTCTGCGACTAGTTTGGCTGCTTCTGCCTGCTGCTCGCTTTTACTGGCCCCTTCAGCTTGGATCCAGGTGGGTAAATGCGTGTCGAGCCACGCCTGCCAGCCAGACACCGTACTAGATATTCCAGTGACTGCATCGACGACCGTTGTATCGCTATTGCCAATCCAGAGTACGTCACTTCCTGCGGTGGGGATGGTGATACTGGGCCGTTGTGTGTCGAAAGGATACCAATCCCACTTAGGCGTAACAGCACACCCGCTCACGCGTAGCTTCTGAGCAAAACGAACGATCGGATATTTTACTTCAGCTGTGAAAACATTGGCGGTCTCAACACTGCTACAAGGCGAAACGCCGACGACGCGAGGTAGCCAAATCAATTCTCGTTCGTGCAGAGTGCGCAAAGTTACGCCAGCCCAAGTACCATCAGAGGCACGAGTTCTGGCGTCGTAGTACCTGCAGTTTAGAAGTTGTTAGTAGTTTGATAACATAGTACATCGATGATTAGAATTCTAGTGCACGAAGTTCATGATCGTCATTTTGAATCGACCCTAGAAGTTTATCATCATCCTATTAACTTCATCACCATATACTACAAACATGTACCTAAAACATCCAAAGGAGTGAATCCAAAAATCAGCATCCTCTAATAGTTGCACCATTGTTATCCAAAGGAGTGAATCCAAAAATCAGCATGATCCTCTATCTAATAAGTAGTTGCACCATTGTTCCACAAATATCGCTCCCGCGAAGTCTTTTTCGTCAAAGTGTTCGAACTCATCCCAGTTAATCTCCACATAGATCGGCACTCTGTTCGAAATCCCAGGTGCCATTTTCATCTCATCCATGCTGCGGGATTTCATGTCACAAAGTCTCCCCACGTAGCCTTTATCACACTCACAATGAGCAGCCGCAAGACCCAAAGTAGGCGTGTTCATACATCGACCGTGGGAGCCACAGTACACTTGACTCGAGAAACAAGGACCCTCAACATGGGAGCTGTGAAGAGCGACTTCGCGGCCGGGGGAAGCGATAGTGGTCATTTTCAGTGTAGGTGCAGCTGGAGAGTCCAATGCTCTGGCAGTGTCGACTGCAGCTCTGTGAAGATAAGAACCCTCACGGTCTACAGTGACCGTGGACGCCTTGTTGAACGTCAAAACGCGAGTAATCTTGAGAGGCCCACTGCTAGAAGTAGTTTTAGAGTCTGCGACTCGATCATTGCATCTTGGCCCCCTCATCTCGACCCCTTTCATCTTGTATAATATTCAT